TGCAAAATAATATTTTAAGAAAACCCTTTATCTTTTTCAGCTTTTATTTTAAAGAAAGTATAAAAACTACTAAGAAAATTATTTGAAACTTTTCAAATTTTTAAGATATTCACATCGGACATTTTTCATTAGTTGCCAAATGCGATTTCTTATAAAATTATAATAAATTTTTTAAAAATTTTTTCGGCGCATACGCAGTACAAAAGAACTGCTTTAATTGCTTATATCTTGCACAGTTTCCAACGAATATTTTTCAAATTTTAAAACAATAATTATATAATCAATTTCAAATTGCTCCAAAAATTTTGTTTAATTTTATTGAATATATTTTAAGTTATAGCAAAAGACGGGACAAAAAAAAAATTGTTTTCTTATTTTTTTTTTATTATATAAAAACGTTCATATTTCCGTAAGTATTTAAGCCTGATTTTCGAAACTTTGTGCAATTATTGCATATAATAACCAAAATAGTTGTTACAAGTTAGAAACATATTGCTGCATTTTTTGGCATTGTCTGTTCAAAAACACTATAATCCGTTTGTAATTCATTGTTGGTCTCTCAAACTTCTAAAAGCATTAAACTTCATTGATATGTATGAGAAATCGAAAGTTCTAAACAGTTTTGAAGTTATAAAAGGATTCGTTAAGTATTTCTTGAGAAATATAAGAAAATATATTAGTATAGAAGTGTTTTCATCATTTTGTCCACCTTCTGTATGTTTCCTTAAAAAACTCTTTTCACTTTTACGGTATCAAACCAATTTTTCTTCATTGCTTTTATACAATTTCACACCTTTGCTAAGTATGTGTACGGCATGTATGATTTTCTCCAGTTTACCAGCCGAAATATTCAGTTTTGGAATCGCTATTAGTGTACAATTATTTAAAAACGCAAATCATCATCTTAGATAATCACATTAAGAATAAATGTTATTTATCTGAATTCTATTATTTTGCATACATTATCCACTTACAAAAATGCTTTTTAAAATGGGTAATGTAATGATGATGTTATTAGAATATGCATTTTTAAGTAAATAATGTAACAATTTTTTAAACAGATCTTTTAGCTTTGGAAATTGCAATTAAATTTATTGTTATATATCTGATTTTTATTTTGCTTTAAAATTTATAATTCATTAAAAAAACATTTTTAACTTTTCGCACTGATTCTTCTTTCTTTAATTAATATATTTTTTCACCTTTTTTGATTACATAATAATTATGTACCGCATGTATGACTTTCTACTGAATGCCTCGGGAATTACGGAGTTTTCGAATTACCATTTGTGTAAATTATATTAACTATTTTTTTTTTAAAGTAGAAGGAAGGATATTAACTTTTTATCTTAGAAAATTGCATTAAGATTAAATGATTTATTTCGAATTTTCATTTTGCATTAAAACTTCTAATTTATTTCAAAAAAGTCTTCAGCTCTTAAGGTTTCACACTAATTCTTTCTTTAACTAATGTATTTTCCGGCAGATGTGAGTACATAATAATTACGCACACCATATATGATGTTCTACTGAATGTCTTTCAAATTACGTAGTTATCTATTTACCATTTATGTAAAATATATTAACTATTAAAAAAAAGCTATCTTTTAACTTGGAAAATTACGTTGAGTTTAAATGATTTATATCTAATTTAAATTTTGCATTAAAACTTATAATTCATTAAAAAATGTTTTTTACTTCTAGGGTTTCATTCTAATTCTCACTTTAATTCATGATTTTCTTCTGCATTTTTACGTACACAAGAATTGCGTGCGTCATATAGGATTTTCGACTAAATGTCCTTCCAATTACGTAGCTATCAAATTACCATTAGTGTAAAATATATTATCTACTTGAAAAAAAAGCAATTTTTTAGTTCAGGAAATTTTATTTAAATAACTGTTATATATCTAGTTTTTATTTTGAATTAAAAATTATACTTCACTAAAAAAACGTTTTTTATTTTTTATTTTTGCGACATCAGATTAATTCTTCTTCATTTAATTAACATATTTATTCGCCTTTTTTTGCGTACGTAATAATTACGTACGCCATGCATGATTTTTCACAGGATATTTCTCTAACAACGCAGTCTTCAAATTATCATTTGTAAAAAATATATTATCAACGAAAAATATATGTATATGTATAAATCTTTTAGCTTAAAGAAATCGCATTAAGAATACATGTTCGGCGAATTCAATCGAAATTACTAGCACTGAATTTTGTGGGGATTTCTTACTTCAGAGCTCTTTTCTCTGACATTTGATTAAGCGAAATAGGTGCTCTGACTTGTAGCCCACGTGTATCAACGAATTGCAATGAAATTACATATCCCGTCATATCCGATTCTTGATATTCACATTAATCTTGTCGCTCTGTCAGTTAGACCATCTTCAGATGAAATTATGCTAAATGATGTTCGGGTGGCCCTGCGGCAACTATAATAGATCTTCTTTTCTTCTACTGTTATTCGGATTCTCTTATTTTGTTCTTGAAAAATTGGGGATTGTTATATAGTAGCGAAGTGGTTTTTATTTTCAGCATTCAGTTATTAATTCGGATATTGAAGAACATTAAAAAAAATAATTTTATGTTATTGATTACATTTAAGGAAGATTTAATAAAAACAACTGTAAATAAATGACTTTTTTTTTTACCGACTCATTTTAGCTGTTTAAAAATAAATTGTCTCAAATTTTCTCATAAATGGTTCATTATGTTTACCCAATTTTTTTTTTATTTATTTATATTTTTTTGGAAAATTTTTCGTTTAAGTGAATGGTTTTTGAGAAAAAATAAAACTTTGCAAATTTAATATTTTTCGAAATATTACAATTTTAACAGTTCAAAAGATCATTTAAAAAATATATAATTTGCTTTAACCCGTTTTGAAAGTTCTTGAGAAAATATTAAAATTCGTGTTGGCAAAACTGCACTGTAAAAAATTATTGCTCAAATTTTACGAAACTTCTTCGTTTTTGGCGAAACCGTTTCCGGATATATGTTCCGAGCAGAAATACAAAATAACTATACTGCGAGGAAACGAAATTGGTCAAAAGTAACCAAATATTTCATAATTTAATTTTTTTTTCAAAAAAAAAAGAAAAAAGAAGAAAAAGAAAAACAAGCAAACAAACAAACTTTCAGCGTCTAATGTATTTAACTTTTCCAAAAAAGACTTTATCGTTTGCAAGATATAGGTAGATCAATGTCCTAACAACACAAGCAGGACAGAAAGAATGGAGAGTACGAGGCCATCTCCTTGATCACCATACAGAGTGGTTGATTTGTTTCGTCACTTTCTCTTGGATCGTCTAGTCTTCTTTCGTCATTCTAGTCAACATTTTCGACTACGATAAGGAAACATTTTTGTCAATTATTTAAAAGTTCCTTTCTTTTTATAAATCACATGATTTCACGACGAAATGATTCTCAAAATAAATAGAAAATATATATATATANCTATATTATAAAGCTATAAACGCTTCTAAAAAAAATTCTACTCATTTTGAAAATTAACAAATACGTATATTATACTTATTAGAAAAATAGAAATAAAAAATAATTTAATAGAAAAATAATCTAATTTTTCATACTGAAAAAGGAATATAAATTAAAATGTAGCACTTTTGTAAAGAATTTTATTGAAATATTTTGTTTTATTTGAAAAAGAAAAAAAATCAGTTCATTTAGATAATGCACTCAATATCTTTTGTTTTTAGCACTAAAAATATTATTTTGATTAATGATAACAGAAATGGCCTTGTACAAGATCCTATAAAAAACTTATTCTCAATCTATACTTGAGAAACTAAAATTGTTAAACAAAATTTTTTGTTTTCGTTTTCGATTTCTAAATGTTATTATTAAATAGATGAGTTTTGACTTAAAAACTATTCAGAAAAAATGCACCCAAAAATTCGCCTATAGCAGAAGCAATAACTTCCACTTGTTTAAAACTTATTTTTAAATAATTTATAAAAAAATAATTTATAAAAAAATAATAATAAAATAGAACAAAAATGGCGATTTACCGCATAAATTAAATCCAAACATTATCTTTCTCTCTTTCTTTTGTTTTTTCTTTTATGCTATAATTTTAAAAAGTTTCTTTTTTTTTTTAATTTTAAGAAATACGAAACAATAACTTCTATTTGTTGAAAACCTGTTTTAAAAAACTTGCAAAAATAAATAAATATATATATAAATAAATAAAATTAAAAAATAATGATTTACTTTACAAATTAAACATTTCACATTTTCCATCTTTCTGTTTAAACCTATTTTAAAACAATTTATAAAAAATAAATGAATGAATAAATTACACAAAGATAACGATTTACCGCGCAAATTAAACCCGAACATTTTCTCTTTTTTTATTGATTATTCCATAATTTTAAGACGTTTTAAATAAATAGAAATGTCAGCACTTTTATGATAATATAATTCCCTGTATGGAATTAAACAGTAACTAATTAACAGAACAATATCAAATTGGTTCTCTTTTCATAATTCATCTTCTTTTTCCCGAAACATAGAAATCTTTCCCACAGAGGGAGCATTTCATAATTATAAATACAACCAAACTTCGGACTATCAACAAGTAAAAAGCATCTAACTTAATTTGTGTTTGCTCCCTTTATCGAGGAATGCACTTGGACATGAAAATCTACATACGTTTGGAGTGTTGTGAGGATGTGGCTCATAAGGTACTCTTTTGATCATTTTCCTCCTCCTCCCGAGCTATTTATCCTCCTGAGGAACAGCATCTTTGAAGCTGTCATGTTCTCTATTGCAAATCGCATCCACTCATTGCATCGCTTATTATTGAAATTGCAATAATCACAGCGTTTATTTGTCATGGGATAAGAGGGGGGGATCTAATGGGGATAGCCATAATACTTGCTTTCTTTCTTGCAGTCTTGTCTCGTTTTTAAATGCCTTTTTAAGTCATGTCCTCCTTTTCAAATGCAGCTTTGTTTGGTAGTGTGGGGGGATAGGAGAAGGGATGGGTTCAATGAAAGAGAAGTGTGCAATCACGAAATGATAGAGGTCCAAGCGAAGCGGGTTAATTGAAGCACAGATGGCATCCATTGGACCAACTGCATGGTGATTACGGCTCAATTTGCACGTTTGTGATTGCCTGCACTGCCATAAAAACCCTTGTCGCTATTCAGATGGATTCAGAACTCTCTTAGATACCTTCTTTAGGCGAATAACTTTAAAATATCATAAAGAAACAGTTATCTCATTTTTTTTCTGGAATTTGCATAATTTGCATAACATCAAAAAATACTAACTTCGTAGGATTTTGCAAAGGTATGCTTCTGAATTTTGCATGAGTGAATGAACTTCGTCTAAGTGGAAAAAGAAATATATTTCATATTTTCTTGGATTAGTTTTAAGGTCTTCCCTGAAGTCCGGAGGAATTGTGAGCTTTTAAATAATGAAAGAAAGAGTTGCATTATTTTTCTGGAACTCTTTACTTAATTATCATAATATCTAAGACTACTAACTCATAAAGACTTTTACAAAGTGCTATTCTGGATTCCGGAGTGAACTTCTTGAAAGTGAAAAGGAAATACATTCCATACTTTGTTGGATTAGTCTGTCTTTAGCTAGTTGTTTTCTCTGAGATAAGGAAGAGGAAAAGTGCTAAAAAGTGTAAGTGAAAAAGTTAAAGAAAAGTTCTATTGAAAAAGTTTCCCAGGCGTCTTTTCTTTTGGCGAATACCTTTATCCTGAAAGAGAAAGTGATCTAATTTTCTCAATTTTTTTCTGGAACAATTTGCGTCATTAACTTAATGCCTAATAGCTGCTAACTTCAAGAGATTTTACAAAGTGTGTTTTTGAATTTTGCTTCAGCGCAAGAATTTCTTCAAAGCGAAATATATATATACATATATGTATTCTATATTTTTTTGGATATCAAGGGTTATTCTAGCTGGCTGCTGTCCTTAAAATAAGGCGGTGGGAATTGTGTGCTAAAAACTTAAGTGAAGAAGAACTCTTAAATAGAGAAAAAAAGAAAAGAAAAAAAAATAACCAAGAAACCTAGGTGAAGAAGAGATGAAGAAGAGAAAAAAAGCCTTAGAAAATCGATTTAAACGTAAACGCTCAAAATGGAAATGTAATTAAAAACGAAACAAACATATTCCATATTTTATTAGACTGATACTCAGATCTAATCTAACTGATTATTTTTCGTTGTACAAGGAAGAAAAATTTTATGTAGGAAAGAAATGGTACAAAAATAGAATTTCGAAATATCGCTGAAGTGATTTTGAAAGAAATTGCAAAATGAAAGCAAAAGACATGTGTTCCATTTTTCATTAGATGTAAAGCATCTAATTTCATTTCTCCAAATAAGGATGAATGACTTGATGTGAAAGAAAGGAGTAAGGAAAAAGGTATTCAAAAGAAGAATTTTAAACCGCGTGCAGTTTAGTTGCATCTAAGTTTGAGCAAAATAGCATTTAGAGGTTGTTGAGCATGATTACATAATTTATACAGCTTAAGATTAATTTTGAAAGGTAATTCACGTAAATGATTAAAAAAAATTTCCATAAAATCTTACAATATGATTATATGATTACAAGACCTGTATTATTGATTACTAGAAAAATTAATTTAAACAGCATTATGACGAGTTTACATTCCTTAAAGTTTGGATACATAATAATATATGAACATCATTTTACCGAGTAGCTGGACTTCCAATATTTGTGAGAACATCAGTGGAGTAAAATAGGATAATTCAAGGATAATTTCTTGAAATCTTGAAAAATCTAGGATAATTTCTTGAAAAATTTAAGTCACTTTAGTATAAATTAAATCTCATTTGCTTTCCTTGAAACTTTAAGCAATGCAAAGTTTTGTATAATTTGAATCCAATTTTGCGTTATCTTGTTCTTATTATCAATGATCTTGTGACGAATTTTGACGGAGAAAAAAATCATTTTTTGACACGCAAGTGTTTTCAAGACCTATGCCTATGAACAAAAAGGAAGACCCTTTCGAGTTGAGAGGTTTTTTGCTGCATCCGCTTCTGCGGTTAAAAATTTGAGCAACAGGTGCGCTTTTTTTAATTTTTTTATCTGTAATCCCTAACTTCCTTTATCTTGTGAAGTTCTCTTACTTCTTCCTAAAAGGAAACACTAATTCTAATTTTTTATTTAAAAAAAAAATTAAACCTTTAACTTGTATATTTTCTTATATAGTTATTTTTTTAAAAAAGAGATTTTTTTAACAATACAATTTTTTTTACTTACGATCAAATGAGAAATTAAACTTGAATAAAATTTTTAAACACGTTATAAATATTTTCCTTAGATAATTTTATTATTATATCTTGCTTTAAGTGATAAAAAATTAATATAATTTTACTCAATTGTACCTTCAAATATAAACTTCAATTTCAAAATCAAGGCAAAACTTATTATATGTCTATATTAAGTTACAATATGTTTTTTTCTTCTTATTTGTAATCTTAACAAAAATGTGCTTAGCTTTACTAAAATAATTTGTATTTAGTTTTTATAATTACTAATTTTGTCTTTAAAAATATTAAGTAATATCAAACATACTATTTCAAGTAAAAAAGAAAATCTGATTTATTTAAATTCTTTAAAAGATTTATAATTAAATCAGTTAGATATTGTCTCAAAATTTAATTATTAAAAAACTTCACTTAGCTGTTTTTTAGTTCTCCAAAGTGATAAAAACTGAGTATAAACACTAAAGAATAAATAATGAATATGCACAACAAATAAATGAGTTTTAGATTGTATTTATAGTATAAATGTTATTTTGTTTCTTTGTTTAGTTTAAATTAATAAATTTGTGTTGATTTACACTTTAACTTTCGTTTTTTTTTGTTTTGGTTACCCTTTGAAAAAAGGAACTAATTTTTCGTTATTTATTTATAGTGTTAATTCCTAATATTGAAGCGTAATTTCGTATTTCAAAATTTTATTTTGCTTAAATAAGCCAAGATAAAATAAAAAAAAAATTTTAAATTTTGTTTCATAATAATTAAATATAGTAAATATATTCGAATAACATTTTCATTACATTTGTAATTTGAATAAACTCAAATAGTTCGTTTATATTTTATTTGTAGTTTATTAATGTTTTTTAGGCAAACAACATCAACTTTATAGTATGTATAGAAATTTTTCTTGAACTATTTTAAATATCTCAAACTTATTAACGCCTGGTAAATGAGTGCGTTACAATTGTTATTATAAGAGTTAGGTAAAATTTAAAACAACAGAAGTTTTGTTTTGTCTGGTGAAATATTTTTTTATTATTAATTATCTAAATTTGAATACTTACGAATTTTTGATAAAGGCCAAGCGAAAAGTAAAACAATATTAAAAAAAAAAAATAATGAGAGTTTAATTTATTTTGGACTCTGATGGTAAACAATAATCCTCTATATCGGTTATGCTTCAGTAAGCACTTGATAACAGGTTCAATACATATGGTTATTTGTTGATATATATATATATATATACATACATATACTTTTAACCATCTGAAACCCAGCTTCCAATATATTGTACACTATTTGATATAATTTAATCCCTTAAAAATAATATTTTATGATTTCTTTTCTGTGTAGATACTTTTACAAAGCGATTATCCATGTAAAATTACAAAAATAATTGTTTGCCTAAGCTTTTAATTAAAATGAAAATTCTTAAGTAATGCAAGAAATTCGAATGCAGTAGACTTATGAGCAGTTTCGAGGTATGTAAATGCTTAAATATTTAAGAATAAGTGGAGTTTGTTACATGACCAAAAAGTGAAAAAAAAACCCATAAAAATAGCCTAAAATGCGTAAAAAATCGAAAAAAAAATCGAAATTTACAGTTTTTACAGCAAACTGAAAGTATTTAGAGAAAATTAATTAAATTAAATTAAATTAATTGAAATTATTTTTAAAATAATTTATTGCATTTTTGTGTTCACTTTCTTCTAAACTATATATTTTAACGAAAAAAATCTCATTTTCTGTCATTTAAAGCTTAGGTCTCAAGAGATTAAATATTTCTAATTTTTCAGAAACGTGAAGTTCAATATCATATTACAAATATTTTTTTGAATTAAAGAATAGTAATATTAAAAAGCTGAATGTAAAATAAATAAGATTAATTTTGAATTTTTTATTGGTGATAGGATTGGTTTAATTTACTTATTTTGAATTATTTTTGTTTACTTATTTCGTTTAGTCAATAATTTATTTTCATAAATGTTTCATACCAAAAATTTTGTGTTTTAGTAGTAAGTATAAAATACAAAGTTTTGACTAGAAAAAACGTATTATCTAGTTATAATTTTAATCTTTAAGTTTTATTCGACTTTATTGTAATGTTTTATAATTTTATAGTTACATAAATATTTAGACAATATGAAATGATGTAACATTTTAATGATCTACAATATTTTATAACATTACAATACTATTTTTAAAAGCAAAAATATATTCTTTTTTAAATACTTTTCTAAGAAAAAAAAGCAAGAAAATTGTATCAAGTAAAAGTGACACAAAGTTTATATTTTAATATTAGTTAAAGGAAGAATTATTTTGACAAATTTATTTAACTCATTTCCCATTTCAAGTGTTTTATTAAAAAAGTTAAAGCTTGTGAAGTATGATCATTAAATTTTACAAATGGTACGAATTCAAAAATTTCTTTATATCAACTTTTAATCGAAAGCATTTTATTTGACTAATTTGTTTTAAAAATATGCTAAATTGACTTTTCAAATTTTAGAATGTACAATTAAAAAATAATGCTATTAAGGATCAGATCTCAATCGTGGAACATTTCATTTTTAAAAAGTACAGTTAACTGAAAATATGTCTATAAGAGACAATTTTTATTTATATAGTTCATTGTTTTATGAGGAAACTTTTAAAAATGCCGATAAATACGGGACAGATACTTCTATTTTAAATTAATCACAACAAAATAATCTTAATTTGCATTTTTTATCTATTATTTTTTTAAACATTTATTTATCTTTTTTATGGGGGCTGTAGGCTTTCCACACCTTAAAAATAAATTTTTTCATTTTAATATTTTAATACTTGTAGAAATGCTAAGAACCTAATTTATTAAATGTCAGTAAGTGAGATACTTAATAATACTCTCGTTAAGTTATACAGAATTAAATAAATTCCTTGCTCAATTTTTTTTCATAATTTGAAATTTTAAAATTTTTTGTTAAAAGTAGCCCTTACACAAAATCTTTTACGAAATGTTACATAAAATCTTTTTCGAATGCTTTGTTTGAAGTACAATATTTTGAAATAAAAGCCCTTTGCATCACTTTTGTCACAAAATTTTTTTAAAAGAAAAAGTTAAGATTATTTAAAAAAAAACTGGAACAAAAGAGACTTTTTTAATTAAGTGCAATTGAATATATATTTAAATTAATTTCTCGTTTTTTTAATAATTTGTTTTGAAAATTTGGCACATTAAATATACTGTATATGCATATCTGATACATGAAAAATAAGCAGAAAGAGCATGGAGGTAAAAATCTTTTAAAGGTCCACTGTTTTCTGAAATGTAAATAAATTGTAATGTATTTTAGATTATTAGAAGAAAAAGTTTAATTAGTTTTTTCAAAAATATGTATATATATATATTTCAAGTTATAATTTTTCTTATGTTAGATTTTTTTATTCTGTTTTAAATATCTCTATTATTTACAATAATGATTAATGACAATAATGAATAAATTAAAAATTGTTTCATTACTTGAATTTCAAACTCCTGATAGACAATGATGATTATTAGATCAAGGTATTAAAAATTTTTTATATTGAAATTTAATTCACGAGAAACTTCAACACTTACCTACTTTTTCCTAACTTTTTTTGAAACTATTATTTAATAAAAAAGGTTTTGAGTATGTTATAAAACTGATTTTAATTATTATAAGTGTCATTAATTCTGTGTATTATAACTAACATTTAAATTGCTTAGTAAAAACATAAAAAGTTTAAATTCAGAGTTTCTGTTTGGCTACGGACTTCAAAAAAATAAATATTCACTGCTTCTCCCCCTAAGAATTGCACAAACAGTTTTGTTTAGTATATTTTCTGTACAAAATATTAAAAATGCATTGCTAGTAATTACAGTAAAAATGCTTTAATAATTTTAATTTTTTATGTTTTTAATTATATTTAATTTTTATTAAGAAGAAAGAATTCATAACACATAGAAAACATTAAAAAATTGTATTCAAACAGTTTTTCACTTCCAGACATCTAAGAATGTAAACATTTTTGGTCACTTATCGTTAATAATTGTACAAGCAGTTTTGTTTGCACATTTTGTTAGTACATTCTTTTCACGTTAGTTTTCTTTTAATTACTTCATTACTCTTATCTCAATTTTCGTTCATAAGCTATTTATATCTAAAGAATATAGAAAATTTAAATGCCTTCGAAATTTTTTTTTGTAATGAAAGAAGTAATATTAGATGGAATAAAATTTTACGAATTAAAAAATATCTAACATTGATAATCTTCCCCATCTTAGAATTGTTCATCGTTCAAAAATATTTTCTTGAATATTTAATATTTCTTACAGATTCTTGCAGCAACAAAATTCGTCTTTATTTCGCAAAACAATAAAATATAATATAAAAATAATCATTTGATTATAAATAAAATTTAACAAAATTCGTGTTTATTTCGTAAAACAATAAAATATAATATAAAAATAATCATTTAATTATAAATAAAATTAATCAAAAATATTTTACTTTTTGCATGATCAAAATTATCATAAATAGTAGCACATCTCATTTAATTTTCTTGCTCGGCAATTCAATGACGGAAATTAAACTCGTATTTAATAATTGAAATTATCGTAAAATTTCAATAGAAGACATACTTTTATTATAAAATAATTGAAACGTTGAATTTTAAACTAATAATATTAAAATTAAATAATACTTAATAAAATTTATGCAATAATAATTTATGTAATAACATTACAAATAAAAATTGTTATGAAATGAACAAAGAACTTCGTTATATCAGATTACT